GTGTTCGCCTCTTCCAGTGCTGTTCTCTTCCAGTGCTCTTTCTCCTCTTCCAGTGCTGTTCTCCTCTTGCAGTGGTGTTTCTCCTCTTCCAGTGCTGTTCTCCTCTTCCAGTGGTGTTCGCCTCTTCCAGTGGTGTTTCTCCTCTTCCAGTGGTGTTCGCCTCTTCCAGTGCTGTTCGCCTCTTCCAGTGCTGTTCTCCTCTTCCAGTGGTGTTCGCCTCTTCCAGTGGTGTTTCTCCTCTTCCAGTGGTGTTCGCCTCTTCCAGTGCTGTTCGCCTCTTCCAGTGCTGTTCTCCTCTTCCAGTGCTGTTCTCCTCTTCCAGTGGTGTTTCTCCACTTGTGAATCTGTGTGTGTAATCATTAGCTCAAGTGTTTGCAGCTGCATTTTTTTTTAGCTCATATTTTCTTTTTATCCTTGCAGATTTTCCCCTTAAAGATCTCCCTCTATATTTGAGCTGTTCAGAAACAATTAACAGAGTCTCTTGAAAACCCAGTGATGATGATGGAAACATGCCAGGATCAGCATTACACAAAGCTTAGAAATAAAAGCCTTAAAATTTAGTGATGCAAAGCTTAGATGGATAAATGTGGTTAATGTACCTGGCTCTATATGCACCCAGGAATCCAGGCATCCTCCAAAAAATTTAAATTGGACTTTGGTAAAATAAAATGTCCTTAAAATTACCGATACACATTTTGTGTAGGTTTTTTGCCAGTCACATTCATATTTACCTTTATTAGAAAGACACAACATCTGCTATTCCTGTTTCAAGTATAACATCCTTCAGGGTTTCCTTGGGCAGAGAATCAATGAGTATTAATTGAGTTTATTTAATATCTTGATTTCACAAATAATATAAAATTAGTTGTTAGGACAGGTAAGTTGAAGTATAAATGTTTATAATAAAACATCTGCGTGAGCAGTAGCTAAATGTAAATTCAAGTGTTCTTGGCTTCTTGAGGTTTGTAAAAAGAAGATAGGTGATTTTATTAAATGTATTTTTGTAAATTACTGAAGATTTTCTTAAGGTTAGCAAGGATTAAAATTATAATGTATAATTTTGTGTAAAAAATTATAAACAAGGAAAACTTTTCACCTGAGGACCTGTTGGACCTCAGGGACCAAGGACAGACTCCCTCCGTGGCTGAGAGGAGCAGTTGCCTAAAACAGATCTGCCCCTCATAAAAACCTTACAAAACCTGGGCTAAAAACAAAGGTTTTAGAGTTGCTCAAGATAATTTCTTGTGTTTCTGCTGTCAGGCTTTTGATTGCTTCAAACTGAGTTTTAAGATACTTAAGGTTTATTTAAATGTCTCTTACAAAGTCCTTTTTAACTAACTGGTGTACAACTGGTTATTCTAGGTTATGATAGCATCGTGGCACCCTTCTCTTAGGCATAGGAAACCCCTTTTCACCCCGAAGCTGAGCCCATACATTCTTCAGATTCACAGATTTCACAGACAGCCACCCCCAAAAGGTATAAATATACCTAGGGTCAGGGCACAGTGCATCTTTTTCTTGAGGGCCTGCACTCTATTTCCTGTGTGTACTTCTTTAACTCTGCTTAATAAATTATTTCTGTGCCTCTTTTTTAAAAGTTCTGATTTTGTATGTTGGCAAAATTTTTTTTAAAGCTCTAGTTTTGTGGTAGTATTCAGGTCTTTGTGTGTATAGAATTTATCATCCGCAAATAGGGATAACCTGACATCTTTCTTGTTTGTAACCTCGTTTTTACTGTCTCTCATCTCTCTTTGATCTGGGTAAAATTTCAAACACTATATTGAATAAGAGTAGTGAGAGTGGATACCTTTGTCTTGCTCTTACAAGAAATGCTTTCAATTTTTCCCTATTGCTACGGGTTTCTCATAGATAGCCTTTATTACATTGAGGTATGATCCTTCTATAGCTCATGTGTTCAGGGCTTTTACCATGAAAGGATGCTGAATTTCATCAAGGGCATTTTGGGGATCTATTGTGATGAACATACGCCTTTTATCCTTCACTCCATTTATGTGATGTATTATGTTTGTGTGCACTTTGAACCATCCTTGCATCTTCAGAATGGAACCAACTTGATCATGGTGCATGTACTAATCAGCTTTTCTGTTTCTGGGACACAGTAGTACTAAAGCCCACAACTTAGTTTATTCAGTCTATGGACAGCTGGTTCCAAGGTAGAAACACGGTGGAGCAAAACTGTTTATATCATGGTGGCTAGGAAGACAGAGCAGGGGAACGATGCAAGAGAAGAAGGGAAATCTGAGTTTGGTGGCTGTAATCTCAGCACTTGAGAGGCCGAGGCAGGAAGATTGCCACTGCGTTTGAGGCCACATGGGCTACATAGTGAGTTCAAGGTGAGCTGAACTACAAAGTGAGACCTTGTCTCAAACAAAACAAAACAAAAAACCAATTTAACAGGAGAGAAAGGGGAGAGGAAATCAACATGACCTTCCATGACACCCCCAGACACACCCGGAAGTGTGCCAATTTCCGAAGGTGGCTCCCAAGCCAATCAAGTCGACAGTCCACCAGTCCACTTTAACCATCAGTGTAGGAAGTGTGTCCTTACTGGTGAGGTGAGTTTCTTCTGGGCAACATATCTTTTATTGGAGCCCATCTGCATCTTTTAATTGGACAATTAAGACTTCACATAGCTATTAGTGAAAGGTATGAACTTGTGCCTATCTCCGATTTTCTTCTAGATGTTTTGAATACTCTGTTCATTTCTTCCACTTTTTCATTTATATGGTTTGATGTTTTACTGTGCTGATAAAGTCTGACTTTTTTTCACTTGTACATCTACTCCTCTAGTAAGATTTATATAGTCACATGTTATTGTGATGGTATTTATCTTTCTTGCACTTTTTAGTGTAGGACTCTCTTAAGGACTCCCTTATAGGAATCTCTTTTGTAAGGCTAATCTGGTGGGAATGAATTCCCTTAGGTTTTGCTTATCTTGGAAGGTTCATATTTTGCTTTTGATCCTGAAAGATAGCTTTGCTGGGTATAGTAATCATATGTGGCAATTCTTTTTCAGGACTTAAAGTTATTTCATGCCTCCTGGCTCAGAGGGATAGATATTAATCGAACAGGATTGCCCTTGAAGGGGACTTGGCACTTTTCTCTTGCAAATTTTAATATATATTAATAGTATATACTAAAATATATATGTGTATATTCTGTTCGGTGGTTTTATACCATGACGATCTTTTCTGTTTATGTCTATTTGGAGCTTCCTGACATTAGTAAAGTCTTGTACTGTTATTCATGGAACGGAATTTTCTATGCCCCTTGGGTGCTGATGCAGATATTTTAAGGCTATCTGAAAGGTCTTCTGTGCTCTCATTTTTTCCTTTATTTCTATGCAAATATTGCAAAGGAGCTGTCTTCAAGCTGCAGTATTCTTTTCCTTTCCTTGCTCTAGTCTGTCGTTCAGTCTTTGAACTGAATTTTATCTGACCCGGAAAACTTAGCATTTCGAAGATCTTTTTCAAAATCTCTGCTGGATTTTATGTCCTACATTGTCCTCCTAATTTAACTGTTTATCTGTATCCTCTTGGCTATCATGGCACTTGAAAAAGATCATTCTCTTAACTTTATCAGGCATTTCATTTAGTTTGGTATCTTTGAGATATTACTATAGTATGAATTTTAGGTGTTTTATTAACTTTTTTCCTGCCTTACAGTCCTAGGTGCTTATGGTGCAGTATCCACCACCCTTAGGAGTGGCTTTATCCTGATGATGTGTTGTGGAGTATGTCTTGTTATGCAGTGTTTTTATTTGCAGTCCTGTGTCATAGTGTCACCTCCCTATAGCTTCTTTAGCTGTGATGATTGAGTTTGGACACTGTGCCATAGCAGAGCTGGAGAATCATCTCTGTGAGACCTGCAAGGCTGGGACACTCGCAGTTCAGGCAAACATACTGTACACAGGAGTCTGTAGGGTGACCTGTGTGGTTCCAGCTGTAAAAGGAGTGGTAACCCCTTGTGCGTGGTGGGGTCTCCTCAGGCACTGTCAACATTGGTTGTTGCTTGGCTGGGTGTCTGTTACTGGCTGATTAATGGTCCTGAGGGATATTGGATTAGACAATGGTGTGAATCCAGGTCCTTCATGGGGAGGGACAGGTCCAGTGGTCACAGAACACCCTCTGTGGCACTCGTACCATCTTGTCAGTGGTGAGGGAGCAGGTAAGGTGGTCAGCGGATACGGGGACCTGTGAAGGTGCACGGAAAGCAAAGTGTGACTCCTCTCCCGTGCATGTGTGCAGGATCCTCCCCAGCTGTGCATGTTGGGAGATGAGTGACAGGGACTTTTTTCCTGGATTCTTGCATTGGCAGTGCCAGCTGTGGACAGAGCTGGGCACCTGTATCCTCTCTGCCAGGTGCTCCCACGCAAGAACAAGAGCGGAGAGCATCCAGCATTGGTGCTTCTCTGCAGACTTCGGGCTGTGTGCCCTGAGGGAAGGGCAACAGCTGGGGGCTCCCGCAGTTCTCCCTCCCCTGTTGTGGTTGCTGCTGATCCAGGAGGAGAGCTTTGCAACAGAGATGGGTAGAACTCACCTCATCTGAGGCAGCTGCAGGCGGGAATGGGTGCTAGCTGAGCAAGGCCAGCCCCGCGGCATCTTCTCTCTGGACTTCCTAGGCCCTGTGGCTGCTGCACATCTCTGTGGGTGCGCAGAGGCAGTGGCAGCAGCAGTTTTCCTCTTGTTAGCAACAGAGGTCTGTGAGGGGGTGGGAGATGGGGAAGGAGGCACGAGGGCAGCCACCCTGTGCTGGCCCCACACGGCACACAGCCAGCCACGTCCCAGTCTCTACGGCAGGGTCCACTGCCTGGTTCTCGCACACAGCACCCGTGTGCGGCTCTGCAGCACTCTTGCTACTCTGTTTTACGCAACCACAGCAGTGCTGAGAAAAAAAGAAATCCAGCAGGGCCAGCACAGGCCCTGGCAGGCGTACCTCACCGGAACCTCGATGTGGGGGTGTCGTGCTCTTTCTTCCAGATGTGGCTGAAGCCCTGTAAGCGGGCAGACATACCCGAGCGGCCGAGCTACGTGGCACCGCTGTACAAGACCAGCGAGCGGAGAGGGACGCTGTCCACCACGGGCCACTCCACCAACTTCGTGATCGCCATGGTGCTCCCCTCTGACCACCCCAGGGAGCACTGGATCAGCCGGGGCGTCGCGCTGCTGTGTCAGCTCAACTCCTAAGCTCCACAGGGCACTTCCTTGGCCCCATTTCTGCTTGACAGTTGAGTAGAAAGAATTTTGTTCAAGCAAGTTTTTTGGCTTCAATAAATCTGCATAGTATTCTTAACTCTGAATTTCCTATGTACAAAGGCAGCCCACATTCACAATGACTGACACGTCACGTAAGGAAATGTTATGGAACAGTAAGGGAAACACGTTGGTGTATTTGCTCTTTTTTCGAATAACTTTATTTTGGGAGAGTTCCATGAGCATCAGGAACATACATAAAATGACACAGCACTGTTGACAATGAAAAAACAGCATATGATCATTTCCAGCTTTATAAATTTTTAAAAAATGATTTCGGTTACAACAAAAAGTTTTAGATATTTTAGCAAGAATCACCTTGCAGAACCATAATCACATTAAGCCACTAACTTACTGTTAATGGAAAAAGTTCACACTGCACATAGCTACTATAGTATTTCTAAGCATAATCACAGCTGATTAAATGCAATGTGATATACATCAAAATTCATATGGATGTCACACAGTGACAGCGTTGTACAAGTAACATTAATGACCTCCAACAAACCCATGTTAAAATTAGATTGGTCAAGCTGATGGAATGTTGGAGCCAAACAGAAATGTAGTGGAATTAAGATTGTCTAGTAAGACTTGAAATTCTGCACCAGAAAAATGATGTGAAAACTAACCACTGGTGGAACTTAGCAAAATACTAGCAGCAACTTTTACAGACCTCTTACGAAGTTAAGAAAATCTAGCAAAGAAAGATAATACCACTTCTGAGAGAATATAAAACTTTATATACCTTAGCATAACCTATCTGCTTTACATGAGGCATTTATTTTTTAAGACTGGGAATATATTCCAGCTGTTGCTTTTAAATGAAGCAGATTTAAAGCTGGAATGCAGAATCCTCCTTGGGTATAAAACCCCCAAAATGAACGATTCCTGGTTCAGAAAGCAAGATCACTGAAAGTCGGCAGTACTCAATAAAACGTCAGCACCTTTTTGCTAGGTCGCTCGACGGGCCAAGCAATGAAATGCGGGCTGTCCCAGTTCAGTGCCCAATGCTGAAAACGATCTATGTGGTTTAAAAAAAATACTCTGTTTTACTACAAAGAGGCCACGAGAAAAGCAGAAGTAATTTTCAGATTCAAGCATAAATTAAAGATGTAACACGTCTGCTCCCCTGCTGCGGCGCAAGGAAGAAACACTGGCGATAATCTGTTAACACCAGCATGGGTGTGCTGCTCTCGAAGTTCGGCTGTTTTTTGAAAGTCCATAGCGTAAGAGGAGAAGAACTGGGTGGAGAAGAGGACTCAGTGGAAACGTCTCACAAGGAATGCAGAGTTTGGCTGTTACATGTCTGAGCGGGAAGATCAGTACAGAGCTGCTCTGGCTGCCAGGCAGACAGAGACACAGCTGTGGGCACAGCGCCAGGCACGCTGGCCGGCTATGAGGGAGAAACCATGGGCACAGAGTGTAAACAAGGTCTACATGCATGGCTAGTGCTAGATCACCACGCCAGAGGAAGGAGAAATGTGGCTTGTGCTTCTCACAAGTCACGTGCAAGATGACTGCAGCAGAATGGGCACCTAGCAAGAAACCGGTCCCTACCAGGCACCCGTAGCACGTCTTGGCACAAAGGACCAAGAGCCTTCGGATCAGGTTCTGATCCCATGACTGCCTAGTGTGGATGGGTTTGTCGCGGCACTGCGCAGGTGACTCTTCGCCACACAGTCCAGACAGCTGTAAACTTGGATCTTCTCTGCCTTGCAACTTACAGCCAGTCACAGCAGGTGCCTGGGTTCCAATGCCAAACTGGGATGTGAACCTTTGGAACTTGAATTTCCCAATAACCTAGTTAGTACTGTCAAGTTGGAAAACTGAGCAGTTTTGACCATGTTTGGGTTCACATCTTTGATATATTCTAGAAGGTTGTAATCATAAGGAAAAAACATTTGACCACATGCTCTGACACCCTCACCTCCCCCAAACAAAAACAAAATTACAGTCTAAAAAAACCAGAAAAATACCCCAAACACCAAGTATTATAATAGTACAAAGAACCATTATGAATCTGTCATTAAACTGAAGCTCACACAAACGTACAATCACAAATTTCAGTAGTTTAGGCTGCAAGTTTAAACACTATGCAAATATATACAAAAATAGTAACTCTAGATTCAAGAATAAGGTCTCCCCGATGCTAATTCATATTCTGCGCAGCCTGAGCTTTCCTCTAGCTCCTATCTATCTACTACGTGCTTTCAAAGTTGTGTCAAGTTGATCCCTATCACCATAGGAATGGAGCTGAAATAAAGGGCACTCACTACATTTCACCCTTAGCACACACAGCCGTGTCCGCCCAAAGTTCCTCTCGAATAGCCTTAAGGTTTAAATGATTTTTTGGTTCAATTTTTATTTCTGCATAGCCACAGAAGTTTCTACTAATAAGGAGACTACTTTAGTGTTTTATATGATTACTTTTTAAAAAGTCAAACATACATTGACCCTAGTTCATGGAGTCCCATTTTCTCCTGTCCCGAACATCAAACATCCCTTTCCTCGGGGAGAGCGTGCTGAGCACCAGTCTCGGGGCGGGGCTCAATCTACGGGACGCGTGAGCAGTGCACGCCGCCAGGGACCCTCGCTCGCGTCCTCGGGGGCTCCCTCCCCAAAACCCTCAGAACTGGATGTCGAGCACGATTTTGTCTTCATAGAGCGCGATGATCAGCATGATGGCGAACCCAAACAGCAGCCCTAAATTCTGCAGGACGAACTGCCCCACGGGACAGAAGCCATGCTCCTCATTGTCCCCGTCACCATGCAGCATTTCCGGGAGCTGAGGAAAGGAAGCACATCTTTAGACACAGCTGAAAGTTCGCAGTTCACCAAGGGCAGCACCCACGCCAGTTCTGGTGAGACAGCTGCGTCTTCTCCCTTCTCCTCGGGTTTGTGGGACACCTGTCCTGAGCAGTGCCCGACCTCCCTTCAGCCCTGCTCCCAGGTGAGCAGCACTGTGTGCCCCAGGGCAGTTCCAGCCTGGCGCCGAGCCCAGTGGCTCAGCCTCGGGACCGGCCCCCGACCCACCGGGACGTCCCGCGGGAACTCAAATCAAACCGCCTGGCACTGCTGGTGCCTTATCAGAGAGCTTTACATAAACAGAAATCTTCCCACAGCGCAAGTGGCCTCTAAGACAAAAACGCGGCCAGGCCTTTCCCATGGTTCCCAGGCACGCTTCTTTAGCATGGTATGCCACGACTTGGTTAACAGCCACTCGGTTTCTAATCCATTTCTTCATTCAACATTTAGAAAATGCATAATTTTGGTTGTCAATAAAAACTTGGAAAATATACACACTCTCTTCCCTTTATCTTACACACTGGCAGCGCTGGCGATGCAGCTGTGACACTGCCGTGACGGTCACTAAGCTTGTGGGCTTGGTCTGTCGGTGGTTCTCCCTCACGCACAAGCCCGCGAGCAGAGGCGCAGCCAGAGCGCACTCGTAGGGCCCTTCCCTCCCGTCCAGAGCTCCCAGCCTCCCTCAGTCGTCCTGCCAGACAGAGCAGCCTCCTCCCCAGTGGCAAACAAGGCACCACACTATGGCGCTCAGGAACGGCAGGCAGCGAAGGGTGGCTCCTCTCCAGCACCGCCTCACGGTGACACCTCCACTGCAAGCCCAGTCCCCCCACACTGCTCGGGCCTGTCCTGTTCCGAACAAGGCCGGGCACCTTCCAGACTGAGCCACCCTGCGGGCCACGGCGGATTTCACAGGGAACTCTTCCTGGCAGAGCAGTCGGGGGAAACCGACAGCATGAAATACGCACTGATCTGCTGAGCCAGGGGAGGAGCAGGGCGACAGCTGGAGGGGAAGCAGAGTTAACAGAGCCTCCCCACGGAGGGAGGGTGCAGGTCCCCTGCCCACAGGGAGGGGCGGGAGCGAGGAAGCAAGGGTGGGGGGAGGG